ATTTAGCATGGTTGTTCTATTGAGAATGTTATAACACGCTTGGTGAGAATATAGATTGTAATTTATATGCATATGATATAAATTGACAATTTAGAATATTGTTGAGATGAAATGTTCATATTGTGCTCATGACATGTTGAACATAACGTTGATATTGCAATTGAAAACTTGGTTGCAAGATGATATTAAATGCAATGGTACATTACATTATATATGCATGGGTAACATCACATTCATGGGCATATGGAATAAGTGTGGGTGTCTGTGCATGATTTTGATCAAACACCATTCTTGGTAGATGATGCGTGGACTCAAAAAATTTGGACCAAAGTTTGATTGAGTCGCACAGGTTTGCATTAAAAATAGGGTCGGGGTTAGCAAGAAGGGCTACATTGTCACTCGGGTGCAAGACCCAATGATTTGGATACGCATTCCATTGGTATTGAGTCCATAAAGTGTGTTTGTGTATGTGGGACTGTTGATGGAAGTCCATAATTACCCACACCAAGAAGGACCCGAGATTAATAATGGTCATTGGATGTGCAACATCAATGGCGGGGGCTTGGAATGCCCAGATTCATATGCATGACATTGCATGTGATATGAGAGTCAGTGAAAGCTCAGACTGTGTTGCATGTGTGAGTCTCATCTCATAACATGACATGGCATAGGGTATTCCATTATCAATTGCATATTCTTAAATGGATTATTTGTTAATTATTGAATTGTATGTGAGCATTTCATATGCATCTAGGTTGGAGAGTAGCCTCTTTAGGAGATACCCTATTGAGCATGACTCACCCTTTATGGGGACTACATTTCAGGTGTGGGACAAGCGCCGGTGGATGACTTTCACTTAGGCCCTCATGGATGGAGAAAGCCAAGTTGTGGCTTTAAACTAAATTTTTGTAAAAAAGTGTGTAGTTATTTGTGAATATGTAATATTGTATAAGGACTGTAAAACAAACTCATATGAACTGTATTTTGTGTAAAATTTGATGTTATATGTGTTTGGGTGGTTGTTATACGAGATTGAAAGAGTTGGAATTGAAAAGGGATTGAATCAGGGGCAAATTGGGCACTTTTACTAGTAGAACATTGACTATTTATCGGTAGAAGAATTTCAGTAGGCATTTTTACTGGTAAAATGTCGAGTATCTACCAATAGAAGAATTCCAGTGGGCACTTCTATCCGTAGAACGTCTATTATCTATCGGTAAGTCCCCTTAAATTTTTAGAAAATTAAAATACTTATGTCAATCCTTCAGGCCTTGATTCATTTTGCTCAAAGGAGGTAAATGGAGTAATATTATGGGTAAATTGATGTATATTGGACCTTAGAATGGTTATATGATTGAATTGTACACATGTTATACGTTTGGGAGTGTCCGGTACAAGGGAGACTCTGCCTGAACTCTGTGTTGGTTATGATTCCGATGAAGGGGATATTGTGGCGTCATGTCGGGTTATGAGGCATTCATGGGTATTTTCATGGGTTGATGGGTAATCAATGGTTGACAAAGGAATTCTGGTTTAAGGGGCGTCACAGCTTGGTATTAGAGCCTAAGTTCTCGATTTAACTAGAACTTTTGGTACATGAGTTTAGACCATTACATTCATTGTGGATTACATGCTATGTGCTCTAAATGCTACATGTTATGTGTTATGTGAACAATATGCATGATTAAATGTGTATGGAGAAGATACACTAGGATTAAAGAACATAACCTTGGGGGTCAGAAAGAGAAGGAATGGGACGTTCATGGTATAGATGTCCACTAGTGGGTGGCATGTGCCCTACTAGTGAGACAGTGGGAAAAATCTCAATATTTTGAATTTGATCCCTACCTTAAGATACTAAGTTAGTGCTCTATTTCTATTTGACATGTGTGTAAATGGCAAATAGAGGGAGAGGACATCAGAATGGTAAAGCAGGTGGGTGGAACAACAACCAACCACCACCGGTCTTTGATCAACAAGCCTTCATGGAGGCTGTGGGCACAATAGCTGCCACCTTTTTGCAAGCCAGTGNCAGAATGGTAAAGCAGGTGGGTGGAACAACAACCAACCACCACCGGTCTTTGATTAACAAGCCTTCATGGAGGCTGTGGGCACAATAGCTGCCACCTTTTTGCAAGCCAGTGCCAATGTTGGCCAAGGAGACTCGAATAACTTCCAAAATTTTAAGGCACACAAGCCACCAAATTTTATGGGAGGTCGGATCCGATGGTGGCCGACCATTAATTCCAGCAAGTATATAAGATCTTAGAGGCTACGGAGATCACATCCGATGCCACTAAGATAAGGCTAGCTATGTTCCAGCTTGAAAGAGAGGCCCATCTATGGTGGGATTGGGAAAAGGCTTCAAAGAACCTAGAGGCAATGACATTGAGAGAGTTCCAAGAGCTCTTCATGGGCGAGTACTTCCCATTAGCTGTTTGATAAGCGAAAGCCTGGGAATTTTTAGATTTGAAATAAAGGACCATGACAATGATGAAATACATGACTAAGTTCAACGAGTTAGCCATTTTTTGCTAATGACTTTGTGGCCACAAACTTGGGCAAAGTGAGGAGGTTTGAGGATGGTTTGAAATTGTCCATTCGGGAAAAGATTGTGGGCCACCACCTACAAGATTTAGACTCAATGGTCGAGACAACTATGGTCAATGAGAGAGAAGTGGAAGACATATGAGGCATCCCGAAGACAGGTGCTAAGGACAAGAAGAAAGAGGGTCAATACTCTTCTTCTAGTTAAGGGAAGAAGCAAAAGACTTTTACCTCATAAGGGTATTAGGGACAGGGCCAAGGCCAAGGTCAATCCAACCAAGGTGGGAGAAACTTTAGGACTTCCTACCAGGCAGGCTAGAGGACTTGTTTCATACGACAGCAGCTAGGTCACATGAAGTGGGATTGTTCTCAGAGGTAGGGATCCCATAGTTATGGGACATCTCAGTTCCAATTATCGGTAGCGCATCCATAAACTTATTTCATTCCTTCCTACCCTACCATGGGCCAAGGAAACCAATTTCAGTTCTAGGGTGCTTCACAAGCCCCTATCACTTCACGAGCGGGGACTCTACAATCAGGCTAGATTGGCCAGGGCATGGACCAAGGCCAAGAACAGGGCTTACAAGCCGAGACCTTGAGACAGGGCATTGGTCTAGGTCGGGGACAAGGCTTTCAGGTCAGGACTTCGGGGACCTAAGGGCGAGTCTACACCATCACACCTCAGATTGAGCCGGTGGATCAGACGGTTATTTAGGGTACATTTTTACTCTTTTTATTATGGACAAGGGTATTATTTGATGCTGGTGTATCACATTCATTTATTTCTACATCCTATGTGTAGGATTTGGGCTTAGAGGTTGAGACCTTGGAAGAGCCATTACATGTGAGTTCTCCCCTAGGAGGGGTATGCATTGATCAAAGATGTCGGTGTTGTGAGCTAGAGATCTCAGGGATCCTACTCAGGTGGACCTTAGGGTCATTTATATGGTGGTGTTTAATGTCATCCTTGGGATGGATTGGTTGGTGACACACAAGGTTGTCATTGATTGTAATCGAAAGAGAGTCACTACTTGTACACTGGAAGGTGTTTGTTTCAAGTTTCAGGGAACAAAGTACGATACGTTTCTCCAAGTAGTGTATCATTTTTGTTGGCATGGGCAGTTGATGGGTTGGCTTGCGAGCCTTACCCTAGAGGACGAGGTGTGACAAGAGTTGGGTCTCCCTCAGGTGGTTTATAAGTGTGAGGATATTTTTTTGGACGAACTACTAGGATTAGCTAGCTCTACATCTGGATGTAGACTTCACCATCGAGTTGCACCCTGGTACATCTCCCATTTCTATGACTTCGCATATAATGACACCTGCACAGTTGTAAAAACTCAGGGTACAGTTGCAAGAATTGTTGGACAAGGGTTTCATTGGACCGAGTACCTCACATTGGGGTGCTCTAGTGTTATTTGCCAAGAAGAAGGATAAGACCCTTCGACTATGTATAGGCTAACAGTAGTTGAATCGGGTTAACATCAAGAAGAGGTACCATTTTCCATGGATTAATGACTTGTTTGATCAATTGAGAGGAGCACGTGCCTACTACAAGATAAATCTATACACATGTTACCATCATTTGAGGATTAGGGAGGTAGTTATACCTAAGACAACATTTAGAACGCAATATGGGCATTTTGAGTTCATAGTTATGCCTTTTGGATTGACGAATACCCCGGTGACATTCATAGATCTCATGCATAGGGTATTCTAACCCTACCTAGATCAGTTTGTCGTGGTCTACATTGATGACATCTTGATTTACTCTAAGTCTGAGGAGGAGCATGAGAGTCACTTGAGAATTGTTCTCCAGACCTTGAGAGATCATCAGTTGTACATCAAGTTCAGCAGGTGTGAGTTTTGGCTAACAGAAGTAAACTTTTTGGGACACGTGGTGTCAGCTTTGGGTGTATCCAGGGAACCAAAGAAAGTTGGAGCAGTCATGAGTTGGGAGAGGCCGAAGTCAGTCTTCGAGATACGTAGTTTCTTGGGATTGGTAGGGTATTACAGGAGGTTCATTGAGGACTTCTATCGGTAGAAGAATTCTAGTCGGTATTTCCATCAGTAGAACATCGATTATCTACCTGTAGGTTCCCCTAATTTTTTAAAAAGTTAAAATACTTTTGTCAAGCCTCCGGACCTTGAGTCCTTTTGCTCAAAGGAGGTAAGTGGAGGAATAATAAGGGTAAATTGATGTATATTGGACCTTGTAATGGTCAAGTGATTGAATTGTACATAGGTTATATGTTTGGGAGTGCTTGATACAAGGGAGATTCTGCCTGAACTCTGCGTTGGTTATGATCCCAGTGAAGGGGATGTTGTCATGTGGTGTCAAGTTATGCATCATTCATGGGTATTTCTACGAGTTGATGGGTGATCAACGGGTTGACAAAGGACCCTTGATTTTAAGGGTGTCATAGAGGATGAGTACACTATTTTGTATCCAGGTCGGAGTGAAGAAGACACACGAGAATCATTTGACTCCTCCGAAGAAGGGACCTATTAGTAGTTGGTTAGAGAGCAAGAGTGATACAATGTCACGATTTGGTAAAGATAGACTGACATCCACTCTTACACCTGCAGCTCCTTCACCTACCACTGTTCCAGTCACCTCAAAAGTCATGCTATCATAAAGGACTAATAGGTTGGAGAATAGAATGAAGGGTATGGAGGGCAGACAGATAGATATGCAGGAGACACGATCACGGATTTTGAGAGAGTTGGAGTTCTTAGCTATGGCTCAACGAATGATGTTTGAGGCCCTGCTGTCTGGTGTGACGTATCCAAAGGCTCCACCACCACCACATACCTCTCAGCCTACTTGTTCAATACCAGCTGCATCTACAGAAGTGCCACCTTCTACTTTTGTGATTGATCCTCGAGGAGATGTGCAGGAGTTAGATAGTATTGATTCTAAGGAGGAAGGGGAGTATGGGTCTGAGTATGAGTCAGAGGAGGAGGCTTCTAATTAGTTTGATTAGCTTTTGTTAGAAGTCTCTAGTTTTTTTTTTTCCTAGATAGTAGTCTAGTTGGGTTTTGTAATAGTCTAGGATAGTAAAGTTTTAGTTGTTATCCTAAGGTTAATGTATTTTGAGTGTTTGTACCTGCTAGCATTTATATATATATATCAAACATCCTTTGGTTTGTTTTATGCTTTTAATTTTCTTATTATGATTTGGTTGTTGTGTAATTGCTTTTAACTGTGCATGATATGATGAATGGGCAAAAACAAGTCTCTTATTTCTGGTTTGCTAGGGACTAACACTGTTTAAATTGGGGGGGTATGTTTAGCACTTAATATTGCTTATTTCATTAAAGAAACTAATGAGAGCATAATATTGCATATTATAAGCCTCATAACCATTCATCTTAGGTATGTTTTTCGCTTAATTCCTTTGTATTAGTTAAGTTTTGTATTTTATAGTGATTTTGGGTGTTTACAGTTGAATTGGTGTGAAATCATGGAATTACATGTGTTTCAATGCCATAGAAGACTTGGGGCATGGTTTAAGAGGTCAATTAATACAGCCAAGGCCACTGCAAGCAAAATTGAGGAAATGACCACTTCTACCGGTAGGTCTTGTAACAATATAATTGAAGGCAAAAAACGGTTCTACCAGTAGGTTATCACTCCTATTGGTAGGTGCAATCTAGGTAGTTGTTCTACCGTTAGGTGTGTATTTTCCTACCGTGTAGAAGACAAAAAGGTGTCCTACCAGTAGAAGAGCGAAGCAAGTAGTGGGAGGAAAACAATGAATAGTCCTATCGGTAGCTTCCTGTAAATTTGTTGTGAGGACAGATTTGAAAAGGCAATTTGCTGGGTTATTTTAAAGGTCATGATTGGGGGATTAAAAAGAAAGAAATCAACACAAGACTCCCTATAAATACCCAAGTCTAGCTAGTGAGAGGGGACTCCCATTCCATCGTTTAGTTTCATTGTTCTTCTTCTTCTCTCTCCTAGGGTTTTTTAGTTTTCTTCTTCTTTTTAGTTTTTCTCCATTATTTTACTTAAAAGCTCTCTTTAAATTCATGTATTTAATTTCTAAACATTTAATCATTTTCAATTTACTTTCTATGAACGACTAGTTTGATTGGATGAAGTAGTCTCATTCGTGAATTAGGGATTTTGACTCAAAATTAGGGCTGGTCTACAATCGAGTTATTTGGGTCAAATGAATAGGTTAATTGGCAAGATGTTCAATTATATATCTTCCTGCTTACCCATTGACAACTAAAACTTGGAACGGGTAATTCTTGTAATCATTGCAATTGAATTAATTATGCTAATAGATTTAATTGATTCGGGTACATATTTGTCAATTAAATTGGGTGCTTAATGAATATCTACTGATTAGTACTTAAATGTAGCATATTATTATGCCTTTTTAGGACTAATTGTACTTTGATGGAGTTCAAGTAAGAAAATTTTAGGTTCTAAAGTGAACAAGGGCTCGAGGGCAACAAAAATCACACTTAAATGTCGCACCAGCACATTAGGGAATGAAATTGGAGAGGCTTGAAACAAAACAAGAATGTTCGAATGCTAACTCACATTCGCACGTCCATTTGAACTATCACAAAACCAGCCTACTGAGACACAGTGTGTTGTAGTCAAGCACCAGGACCCTGAGGTACTTGAGTACCACGTTCGAACTCCAATTAACGTTCGAACGTCCACTTGAGTTTATTGAAGGCCAGACTAATGAAACAGGTCATGTTGCAGTCAAGCACCAGGAACCTGAGGTACTTGAGTACCACGTTCGAATGCCAACTAACGTTCGAACATCCACTTGAGTTGATGGAAGGCCAGACTGATGAAACATGGCGTGTTGCAGCAAGCAAGGAAGAAAGTGCACTTGAGTACGACGTTCAAACGTCATTCAATGTTCGAACGTCCCTTGGAATCATTTGAAGAACAGACTTTTGCATAGAGTGTGGAAATGAACTTCATAGAAGACCACTTGAGTGGAAAAGGTCAAGCCCCATCCGGCATTCGAATGTTTATAAAGCAAGACCAGAAGACATGTTCGAACGTCAGACAACGTTCGAACACCCCTAAAGCAAAATAGAAGACAACGTTCAAACGTCAATTCACGTTCGAACGTCCTCCACAGACTGCCTGCAGAGTAGTTGGTTTTCATGGGCGGTAAATATTATTCACTCATCCTCTCTTATCTTCTTGTTTCCTCCCCCCCCCCCTTTCCTTGCCTATAAATAGTCCCATGTTGGGAGCTTGAAGGGGGCATGCTTCCCCTTGTACAATAAAGGCTTAGAAAGAAAATCCTTTTCTCTTGATAAGTAGAGTAGAGAACTAGTCCTTGTACATTTATGTTTATGTTTTCATTTTGCATTTGTATCAACCATAATGGAGGCTTAGACTCCCCTTGTAGTTGAAGTCTTTTATTTATTTATGCCACGTCTTTACATTCATGTTGTGACAACCATGATGGAGACTTAGACTCCCCTTGTAGTTGTACTTGATTTTACTTACAAGTATCAAGAGAGATACCTCGTCTTTTGGTTGTGGTGGAAACCCACCAAGAGTAACTAGCTTTCATCTACTTTTATTGTTTATGTATTTCACTTCCATTGCTTGAGCATCCTTCTTTCTTAGAAGAGTGAAACTCTTCCACTTTTCTAGAGCTTTACCAAAGCCGTGAAGGGTGGAACGTGATTCACTTATTCTTCATGGAAGATAAGCTCTTTGTTTAGTTTTGCTTCACTTAGTAGCTCCTCTACTTGAAGGGATGAGTATCATTCACTCTTCTAGCTTTACCAAAGTCATGAAAAGTGAGTAGTTCCTCATTCACTCTTTAGTAGGAGGTGATGAATATGTAAAGATTACCCAGAAGTTATGTTTGTGCAATTCATTTATGCTTTAATACTTTATATTCCACTTGCTCATTGGACGATTGAATGCATTTAGCAAAGCTAAAGTACTTTGTATAACCAAGGGCTCCTTCTATGGTATGGATGACTCCTGCATAGAAAGACCCGTTAGTTCAAGGCAAGCACCCTGGCCAAATCTTCATGACAACCTTTCAATCTCCACCATTATTGTGTTTTATTCAAAGAATGGACCATTAATGCCTTGTAGAAACACTTGCTTGTTTGTAGACGGATTAAGTCTCGACACAGACAATTCTTGTAAACTTCTAGAAAGGCATCGGAATCATGTGCTTAATTCTCACAGTTCATCTTTATCTTCCGATTAACTTGCTATTGACACAGGAGTTAATTGAGTTATAAAGCACAAATATAATAAACCGTATAATCAATTACATGTTCTGATCTTTGAACTAAAGAGTGGCTATTATCTTTACTAATTTATCTTATATTTTGTCTAGAAAACTCTTGAAAAGAATCTTCTATTCTATTCAAAAAATCCCACCACTGTAAACTCTCAAAATTTTCAGTCACTTGGTCTCTATTATTGCTTACTTCAAAACACCAATCATAGTTTCCTGTGGATTTGACTCCGGACTTAACTGGATTATTGCTACAACTTGACCGCCTGCACTTGGGTGTACACATTTTGAATCAAGTCATCTACCACTTGGGTGAAGCCTGACCATAAGCTCAAGTGAGTTATCGAATTTGAGTCAAAATACCTAATCATGGTGAGGTGATCTCTACTGATCAACTAGTTCTTTTATTTAAGTGTTATTTCTTTAATTAATTAAATTTTCCAACTCTCAAATACTCTCAAAATTATGAAATTTATTTCTTTTTATTTTATTACCCCTTGAGCCAACTGTCTTCCCTAAGAAGACGACCTTAGTAAACGACCGGGTTACAAACAATACCCCTTCCTACTTGGGAATTCCTATTAATTGAATAGGACTCTGAGGAGCAAGCATTTTTGGCGCTATTGTCAGGGAAGGTGAGGTGTTTCAAGAGGTGATTCGGAGATCGCCAAGGTAAGTCTCATGATTCACATCATTGGCTCAGGCACGTTCTTCATTGTATTTTATATTTAATTTGCTTATTATTCCTTTTTAGTTTGTGTGCATAATTTGGTTTTAGTTGTTTACTTTTCTTTTTCATGTGGGTAAGAGATACACTTCATAATAGATTTGTAAGACTTGACCCCACACACTGAAATGGATGGAATTAACAATAAGAACCCACAGAACATGGGTAATTAGGGACATAACTTTCACATCATTCCACCTAGTAATAATAATGGGAATGCTAAAAATAATCTCCCACTGGCCATATATGTGAGGACGCTAAGGGATTATCTTCAACCCACACGTTCTTCCACTCCTTCAGGCATACTTTTGCCTATGCAAGTACAAACTTTCGTTGTAAAACCCGGGATGCTCCAACTACTTCCCCAATTTCATGATGTGAATAGGGAAAACCTCTACCTCCATATCAAGGAATTTGAAGAAATAGTTGGCACATTCCTAGAGCAGAATATGCATGAGAAAGTGGCAAGAATAAAATTACTCACATTCTCATTAAAAGACAAGGCAAAAACATGGCTTAACTCTCTAAATCCTCGAACTATGGCTAATTGGGCTGATTTGTAAAAAGAGTTTCTCAATAAATTTTTTCCAGTTCATAGAACAACTACTTTGAAAAAACAAGTTCAAAATTTTTCTGAAAAATCCAACGAACAATTTTATGATTGCTGGGAGAGATTCAAAGGTCTCTTAAATGTTGTACCACATCATGGCTTTGAACTATGACAATTGATGAGTTTCTTTTATGAAGGAATCACACCAACTCATTGTTAATTCATTGACATGATGTGTAATGGTGAATTTCTGAGTAAAGAGCCCAATGAGGTGTTAGACTATTTTGATAGTTTAGCGAAGAATGCCCAATCTTGGGATATTTCTAATCTCATTGACTGATCAAAATAGTCTAATCTATCCCATTCTGTTGGGGTGGAAAATATGCTTTGAGAGAACAAGATGAGTTGTTTGCCAAGATTGCTCATCTGTCGAGGAAGGTTGAAAAC